CACATATTTTTGACAATGTATAGCCGTGCGCTCATGAGTACTCATAACCAATAGAAATCCAACGTTGGCCACACGCGCCAATGGTTGGGCGCCCCAACTCAACTGTCAAGTCATTACATGCCTTATTCCATTTGCAAAATAGAAATTTTTGCAATTCACGTGCCAATGACATGAATTCGGGATTAAAAAGATGGTTCAATAAAGTCAAGTTTTGGAATTTTATCATCAATTTTTTCCCACACTACTGCAAATATGTGGTTCACTTGAAATCTTACCACCAAAAATACCTTGTCCCTAGAATAAAACCAGTCTGGAAAATCCCCCTCCGAAACTGAGTGCTACTATAGACAAAAGTAGACGGCAAGGTTGCCAAACAAAACCCTTTTACTTACCTAATCCTCTAGCAGCAACATCAGTGGCAACCAAAATAGTCGATTTCCCCTGTCTGAAATCCCTCAAAACATAGTCACGTTCCTGCTGACTTTTGTCGCCGTGCATACAAATAGCCGGCCACCCAAACCTTTTAATATTTCTGGTAATTTGTTCCACCTTCTTTTTAGTTTCGACGAAAATAATCACTTTAGCGCCAGGCTCTGCATTGTTGCCAATCTCTTGCAACAACTGATTCAATCTACAATTAGGAGTTAAAAATTATAAATTTTTGTTTTTTGAAAATTACTTACTTGAATTCCTTTTCCTGTTCAGTACAAACATCAACAATTTGCAAAATATTGTGATTAGCAGACAACTGCATCGAGCCAACATTAATAGTGACAAACGAAGCCATGAAATCCGAAGCCAACTTCATCACTTCTTTAGGCCAGGTGGCACTCCACATCAGCGTTTGCCTGTCAGGCCTGATTTGCTCAATAATCTTCCTAATCTGAGGCTCAAACCCCATGTCCAACATCCTGTCAGCTTCATCAAGCACCAAGTAAGTACACCTGGCTAAATTAGTGGAACCTTTTTCCAAAAAATCAATCAAACGCCCCGGAGTTGCAATGCAAATTTCCACTCCCCTTTCCAAATCGCGAGCCTGAGGCCCCTTGGGGGCTCCGCCAAAGATGCAAGTGTTGCGGATGTAGCAGGAACGTCCAAAATCGGTAGATACTTGTTGAATTTGCTGAGCCAGTTCTCTAGTTGGAGCTAGAACAAGGGCGATTGGGCCATCGCCTTGGTTCAACCTGGGCTGGTTGTTGATGTGCACAATAGCAGGCAAAATGTATGCTAAAGTTTTTCCTGAGCCTGTCTGAGCTATGCCTACCATGTCGCGACCGCTCAGAGCTATGGGCCAGCCTTGTGCTTGAATGGCAGTGGGAAAATCGTAGCCTTGATTCCTAATCTCATCCATCACGTAATCAGGGAAGTTGGCTTCAGCAAAGTTTTGTATGGGGTTAGGCACATCACCGTCTACAGAAATCTCTTTGGACTTTCTGAAGGCCTCCACTTCGTAAGAGGAGCGACTGGCTACGGCCGGGTGGGGCACGTAAAAGTCTTTTTTGATGGGACGCAGCTGTTGCATGTCCCAGTGAGGCTTGCGCAGGTTTCCACCTGGTCCGTCATTTCTAGCACCGAATCTGCCTCCACCACCACCACTACCAAAACGATCACCACCTCTACCACCACCTAAAATGGATAGTCATTTTTTCGGTGACATAAATTCAAATTAGGGATTTTACAATTATTTATAAAAGGACACAGCATAGTTTTTAGGGGATTTTGGTTTTGGGATTCGGTCAATTTTTTTAAAAAATTGATATGATGTTACTCTCAATATTTAGCTTCTTTAATCAATTCCATTTAAGTAAATATTGAATATGCGGCACATGACTTGTATGCAGTTATTCCAAAACCCAGTATGTGGAAAAGTAGTCAAAGAATCAATACATTTTTAATTAGAATGTTAACAGTAACATCATATGAAATTGACCAAATACCAAAATCCCATGAGAGTCCTTTGATTTTAAATAAAAATGAAAGTTCCTTTGGGTATACCTGCTCCGTTTCTGAAATTGCCGCCGCCGCCGCCCTGGCTTCTGAAGCTGCCGCCGCCTCCGCCGCTCCTATAGCCGCCTCCGCCGCCGCTGTTTCCTTCAAATCTGCCGCCCCTGCTGCCATAGCTATCGCGTCCACCACGAAAACCGCCGCCGCCGCTACTGTTGTATGACCTTGAGATGAAGAAAATACAAAAATTGAAAATTTGTGAAAAACATATTTATAGTCGAATGATGATTGTGTATGTTCAGTTCAAGAAGTAAATCACTCAAACAACTTCTCCCAAATTCTTCCAAATTCCCCAAAAATTCCTTCAATTTCCCTCAAATTTTTCCAATTTACTCGCAAATTCCCTGAAAATCTTTGTAGTTACATTCAATGTCAAATATCATATATATTCGACATCGGTTTTCAGTAAGTTTTCCATTAAAATATACCACTTGTCACAATGGAAAATCGTGCAATACATACAACAGTTAGCTAATTCTAGACTCTCAGTAACACTGTACCTAGTCGATAATTATTGTTCAATATTCAGTGAAAATAACCTTGCAACATCAAACTTTAGTAGAATTATTATTATAAGTGTTTAGAAACAACAAAAAATCTGGAATAGTTGAGAATTGGTATACACCACAGCCGCCACAAACTCATAACGAAAACCAATTATCCAATCCAGAAACCTTGCCACAAAAATGTGTGATACCAAAACACATCTGTCATTGCTTGCTGACCCATCCAGGGGTTATTTGTATTCAATCACTGTAGGGTCATTGTCACATCTGTGTGACATAAGTTCCTAGAAAACATTGCTTGTCATATATATATGTGACGCGTAGCCGTAACCGTGTTAAAGCAATCAAAAATTAGAAATTCTCAAAATTTTGACTATTCCAGGCTCTTCAAAGTTATAATTGATTAAACCACGTATTTCTGTCTGTGGTATAACTAACAGTTAACTAACTAAAACTATAATAGTTAAAATGTGTTTTAAATAAAATGTATTGCATCTCCAATACCTCAAAATTAACTATCAACAAAATATGTATCTCCCAGTTAAATAATAATAGATGAATCTGGCCTTAAAGAATGAGGTTTTTACTTTAACATCCTTTGGTTAAATTTGATGTTATCAGCAGACAGTTATTTAGTTATTATTAATATTTATCTTAGATAGCCATCCACTGATAAAAGATTATTTTTGAGTTTGTAAGTGTGACACATTCTGAGGTTTACATCAACTAACAGGGACTTAGCAAACCATAGATCTAGCTAAGAGTTAGTTTATTTTCAAATTAAATCCTTTTTAGTTAATCTTGGTTTTATTGGTCTATGGATAACTGGCCCACCAATGATATTGCACATTTCATTTTCATCTGTTACCTAAATTGCATACCTGACAGTTTATCAGAAGGTGAATAAACCGACTCTATATTATGTATTTCTGTCTGATTCTGGCTTTAAATAGTGAGACTTGCTATTTAACAGCCATTTTATCTTTTAGTTAAATTTTATTCAAAAAACTAATTATTTACATCTGCCTTAACTAGAGGTTAAAGTTAATATTGCAAATTGTATTCCCAATTATTCAAAATTAACTTTTAACAGTATGTTTGTTTATCTCCCAGTTAAATGATAGTAGATAAATCAGGCCTTGAAGAGTTAGGCTGGATTTATACAGCAAATAAAATAAAATAAAATAACATAAGATAAAATAACAAATCCATAACTAATACATTTCTTATTTTATTTGTTATTTTCTGTATAAACACTTCATGAAGTTAACTGTTATTTCTTATTTTATTTTATTTGCTGTATAAATCCAGCTTAAGACCTACATTTCAACAGCCAGTTTAACCTTTAGTTAAATAGTCGGTACATTTGACAGATGAGCAACGCATCTTACGTTATTCAAGACTAATTGGTTAACAAATGACGTTTATTTCATTGTTTATCTGTCAAGTGTAACCGACCCATCAAACGCTTAAAATCCTCCTAAATAATTTTTTGGTAAGTTCTTAATTAACAAAAACCTTGAATTGTGTCAATTTAAAAATGATATTGTTTTTATGTAGCACATTCTAATGGTAAAATTAGTTCAAAGAAAATATATTTCTATCTTTTTCTATCACAGGCTGAGAGAAAAAGACAGAAATACACTCAGTGCATAGAAAATTTTCCAATCAAAATTAGTTTTTAACTATCAAAATAGCTGAGTTTCATAGACACAAACAGTGCTAACCCAACAGTAATTTCTAATGGCCGTTTGCACCAATCATTTTAAGCGAGGTTTAATAATAATCAACGTTTTTACATGTAAAAAATGTCACTTTAAACGTTGATTATCGTTAAACCTCCCTTAAAATGGTTGGTGCAAATGACCATTATATACACACACAACTACCTTAACTGAAGTTTAAAAAAACTATGGTTTTAACGTGTCTAGTTACAATGTTCACCCTGGAGTTATGCTTAACCTGGAGGTGATTTGGTATTGACAAATTGGCCCTTAATGGAACGATTTGACGTTTTCTAAATTCAATATGGCGCCGTGAGAATATCCCACTTGACAATTCTGGGGTGCGATTTTCGAAACCATTTGAGTACATTTCGTACACAAAATTTGACTGACAGCAATGTAAATTAAATGCGGAGCACTAAAATTTCGTGTACGAAATGTACTCGAATGGTTTCGAAAATCGCACCCCTGAAGGCTTTCTTTCAATTCCTATTCAAATTACAATCAATTGGAATTGAATGTAAATGTGCCTTTGCGGTCGTCAAGTTTGTTATGCCAACAGCGCCATCTTGAACTATCAGCTGATTCAAAGTGCCTGATAGTAGAGGTTTTCAAAATCTACTAGTTAAATTCTATCTAAAAAAGTAAAGGGCAGTATCACAAGATACTGGTAAATTGTATACCTATACACATTTATCCTGAGTGAAGGTTAAAAGTATAATGAATTTTTTAAAAGTAGATTTTGCAATAGTAAAAATCTGGTCCCAAATAGCAGAGGTTCTCAAAATTCACTAGTTAAATTCTATTTAAGAAAATAAAAGCCAGTTACACAAACAGCTGTAACCATAAGACACTGGCAATCTGTATACACATTTGTCTTAACTGAAGGTTAAAAGTTAAGTGAATTTTTTTTTTTAAAGTAGATTTTGTAATTGTGAAAATCTGGCCCTAAATAGCAGAGGTTCTCAAAATTCACTAGTTAAATTCTATTTAAAAAAGTAAAGGCCAATTTTTGAAGCAGCTGTAACTATAAGACACTGGCAATCTGTATACACATTTGTCTTAACTGAAGGTTAAAAGTTGAGTGAATATTTCAAAAGTAGATTTTGTGATAGTGAAAATTTGCCCCTTAATAGCAGAGGTTCTCAAAATTCACTAGTTAAATTCTATTTAAAAAAATAAAGGCCAGTTTGTGAAGCAGCTTTAACTATAAGACACTGGCAATCTGTATACACATTTGTCTTAACTGAAGGTTGAAAGTTAAGTGAATTTTTCAAAAAATTTGCAATAGTAAAAGTTTGGCCCTAAATGGCAGAGTAGTAAATTTCTATTTAAGAAAGTAAAGGCCAGTTTCAGTTACACAAACAGCTGTAACCATAAGACATTGGCAATCTGTATACACATTTGTCTTAACTGAAGGTTAAAAGTTGAGTGAATTTGTTAAAAAGAAATTTTACAATAATGAAAATCTGGCCCTAAATAGCAGAGGTTCTCAAAATTTACTAGTTAAATTCTATTTAAAAAAATAAAGACGAATTTCACAAACAGCGGTAACCATAAAAAACTGGTAATCTTTTATACACATTTGTCCTACCTGAAGGTTAAAAGTACAATAAATTCTGCACATAAAAATCTGGACCTGAATAATAGAAGTTCCCAAAATTTAATTAACAGCCAGTTTAGGCCCCGTTTATTAATCTTCAGATAAACTTGCTGGTGGGCGGATAACTGGCTAACCAATGGGATTACAAATGGCGTTTTTATTTGTCATTCTGCATACCTGACAGTTAAATAAACCGGCCCTTAGGACCAAATTATGGACCGACTGGTAACATTGTTGGCACTTTTATTATTTTATTAAAAATCTGGCCTAAAGGGATTAAAGTAAAACAAACTTGATTTTTATTTGATCTTAACAATAAATACTAATATTTTCTATAAATCTGACATACAATTCCAAATAAAAAGTTGCTTGTAGAAGGGGGACAATAATTGTCTAGAATTTTCTAAAAATTCACCCCAAAAACTACCGAAAAATAATTCAAAATATACTTACATGTTTATCTTGAAGAATTTTCACCGAAATTGATTAGAAAAACTGGAAAACTAAAGGAAAAAGCCTGGACAAGAATATTTTGAGACAAACTTCCCAAACAATACAACAAATTTGACACAAATGACTGTCAATAGCAAAAGAAAAAAAAATGGCCGAAATTACAGAAATCTACTTATTTCTGTCTTTTTAATGCTAGAATTTGCTAAAATATACTCTTAAAATATTGTCAATTTGGGACTCAAACAACAAATTCCATTTGTGATTGTCAGTTATAAGACTACATAAAAGGAAAAATGGTCAAAATTATCAAAATCTACTATTTTTGTTTATTGTCATATTCATATCATAGATGGCGCCACAGGTTCAAGTCCTATTTACACCAGTGTTTACTGTTTTTTTTTGCTTAAATATACTTAAAAATGTTACCAACAATACAAAGAATACAAAATAACTGAACAAAATAATTACAGAAATTTGCTTTGGATAAAACAGCTGGCGGCCTTCAAGACAAACTAATAAATCAATCGAAAGTCCATATCGACAAACAAGGACAACCTCAAGCGGAAACGGACACGTGCAAGAGAGAAACAACAACAGCAAAATCAAAGATGGCGAAACGGGAAGAAAAATCGCCAAGTGGGGTATAATTTTCCCCTGATTTTCACGGAAACCACCGCGAAAAATCCATAAAAAAAATACGGCAATAATGACCGCGTAAAGCCAAAGGGGCCCGAATTACGCGCGACGAAAGTGCGAGCCGGAAATTTCCCCGTGGGGTGATGATTTCGGGCCATGGGGGCGCAAAATACGAAAGAACGGGCCCCCGTCGGTCCACCGGGCGGTCATCATTCCATTAGGGCCGCGAGAAACCGACCGAAATTGTTGAAAGATGGACGACAGAATATTTCCAATATTTTTACAGAGCACAGCGGTGAGAAATGATGATTTAGTTTTTGGCTTATTGAACCTGTTCCAACTGGCAAATTGATTTGTACAGATGAACAATCAACAACTGGTTTTGTTTTGTTTATGTGGCTGGCCAATCAATAATCGTCGATTTGTTGCTCTGAGGCTTTTGATTGGTCGAATTGTCAGGCATACTCAGCTATGGTTGGTCTAAAAAAAAAAAGATCAAAAGTTAGTCTTGAGAAAAAACAAGTTTGAACCTGTCCTGTTTATATTGGATTTCTTCGCAAATGTCCTATTAGTTTCCACATAAGTTCAAGTCAATTGGAAGATTCCTACCTCATAAAGCATTTGTGGGTAGTTTGGATCTTCTGCTGAAATAATTACAGACACATTTGAAAACAATTTATTATGTAAAATTAATAAAAAATTGACATCATGTTTTCACCAGCATTAGTTTCATGAAAATGTTTATATGTTATGTTTACTGGACTAAAAGAAAACCTATATATTGATGGGGTTTTATTCTTTCAGACTTCTGATATTATTAATGAGGCTAGCTTAATGTCATATAATTCAACAATCGGCAATTGACCAAGCAATTCTTGATCTCTTTACCTCCTTCTTCTCTTCTAATTACTCTGCATGCCAATCTGAACATCAAGATTTTTTCTTTGATCACACTACTGATATAAATTCTTTAATAATAGAACCAAGTATTCAATGTTATTGATCGCTTGTGGGTTGGACCCTGGTCCATGCTGTTTCAGTTGTCTTTGTTAAGGAATGTTAGTGTTTTCTATCAAGTGCCCTTACTACCCTCTATAACTTGTCATTATCCACAGGGGTATTCCCTGATTTTTGGAAGAAAATATCTCCTCTCTCTTGAATTCACCTTTTACTGAATATATCAGCATGGGTTTCTACCAAGTCAATCCACTCCACTGTGACCAACCTTTTTTTATATAATGAGTACTTGTTAGAAGCCTTGGAGAATTTGGTTGAAGTGGATTCCATCTACACTGACTTCTGACAAGGTTGATCACCAGATTTTTATTGATAAGATGGGTGGCATGGGAGTTCATGGTACGCTTCTGGATTAGTTTGACAGTTATCTTTCTAGATGTAAACAATGTGTTACAATCAACAATTGTATCTCCTCAGAAATAGCAGTTACTTCTGGTGTGCTATAGGGACAGAGTTGCCACACTCTAAATATGAAAGTTTGGCCAAAACATTCAAGAAAAAAAGGAGAATTTAGAAATGTGGTACAGGGTGATCTATTATAAATGTCACCCCCTTCTAACTTCTCCATTTGATATTTTTGACAAAAGTGTCAAAAATAAAAGTTTCAATAAATTGTCGAAAGTTTTTAACTAAGTCAGTTTTAGACATACAGGGTGTGTCAAAAAAGTGTAGCAGTGTGAAGTTATATTTTTTTAAATGGAACATCCTGCATATTGTGTGCTTATTTGTTAGTCCCTTTTACCCTGATTTCAACGATATACGATTTGATATGTCTATCTTCGATATTTATGGGGAAAAACATGAAAATCCCTTTTAAGGTTTCATATTGAGAAAAGAAAAATTATACCATTTAAGCTTTAGTGAATTTTTTTTTATTAACAGTTTATTGTTCAAATTTTATTTATTAATATACAAGCTGAAATATTATAATAAATCCAGGTGTCTAAGTTATTATTAATATTTTTGAAAAAATAACATGAGAGACTTAGCAAGGGATTTTCGCGTTTTTCCCTATAAGTATTGTTGGGCTGTACGTCGTTCACAACTGCTTCAGATGCGTACTAACCCTTTTGATAAATAAAATCACCAACTTGAAGGAAGAATTATAATATGCTCGATGACAGGAGTTTTAAAAAAAATATGACAATTTTTTGACAATGGCAATATGACAACCAACCGAACATTGGTGGCATCATTATAAATTAAAATCATATATCTAAATCTTAACAAGTATTAAAGATAAACCGACAGATGAACATATCAAATCGTATATCGTTGAAATCAGGTTAAAGGGGCTAACAAATAAGCGCACAATATACAGGGTGTTCCATTTAAAAAAATATAACTTCATACTGCTGCACTTTTTTGACGCACCCTGTATGCCTGAAACTAACTTAGTTAAAGACTTTTCACAATTTCTTAAAACTTTTGTATTTGACACTTCTGTCAAAAACGTCAAATGATAAAGTTAGCACGGGGTTACATTTACAATAGATCACCCTGTACATATTACCATAAAACATTATACCTAATCAACTCAATATTTTAAAACTGTGGTACACCGTACTACTACTGTACGCATTGATTTTCTTGTAACGAAGATGTTCTAAATTGTCATACAAATATCACACCTGTCGTACGTCTGGCAACGTTGTGCACAATAGGATGTTTTATACTATTCCGATATTGGTGAACCATTTTTCATAAAAATGTAGCCTTTAAATAGATCTTCGATCAGATGGGTCATTTGCCCAATATCAGCATCATGATATGTTTGAATTTTGGCCTTTAACTCCATATTAAATTCCAGTCTGCAGTTTAATTTTCCCTTCAAATAAGGAAGAATTCGCTTAATATAACACTTAAGTATTTTCTAAAATTTGAAAAACTCAACATTACAGAATTCTCTTCCATTTTGATTGATTTTCTGCAAAATTTTAAAATTTCTCAAAATATTTTGTGACTTCTATTTTCGAGAAAATAAACAAAAATATAGTGAGTTTAATCATCCAGAAGTGTAAATACATAGGCTCCGGAACCATGGGGGCTTGAGCCCCCGTAATGAATTTGTTATGTAGGCGGAGCCCCCATAGTGATTTTGCTGGTGGGTGTAGTGGCTAGGTACAAAAATATTGAGTTCTTAACTATGTAATTACATAGGCGCTGGAACCAGGGGGGCAATGGGGGCTTGTCCCCCCGTAGCGAATTTGGCATTGTATGTAGTGGGTGTAGTGAGTAGTGAGTAGGTACAAGAATATTGAATTCCTGATCCAAACATTTCTACTAGCCGCTTCCACCAGATCTAAATGCATGAAAACGACATCGAAAAAACCGTATTCAGCACAGAAAACGGTTATTATGAATTCTTGCGCATGCCCTTTGGTTTGAAGAACGCGCCAGTTACATTCCAAAGAGTTATGGATGATATTCTATATCCCAACATATTGAGCAACTTCAACACCGAAAGATGGAACATCCCATTAATAATAGTTATTCATTATACAAGGGAAAAAATTAATAGATTTTAGAGCGAGATGTAGTTTACCTCCCGTCACGAAGCGGAGAGAGACAACAACAAGGTGGCCAAAAAGCGCTGGGAATGCTAGAGGTGAAATCGGCGGCATTTGCCCCCTTACCCCAAAGGCCTCTAAATTTTATTAATAATTCAAAATGGAAAATAATCAAATACATACATTATAATATAAGTAACGTTCTACTATAAATTCTCATCAAAATTTATTGAAATAGCCGCATTTCCGCTTGCCCCCCATCATTAGAAGTCCCAAAAAATACCATGAAAAGACCTGCGCCGTTTTTCTTCCTGCAGCACTTGCAGCGAAGTTGCCACTGCTGCAAGTATCACTGCCTGCAAATTTGCCCCTTCCCCTCTCCAAGACAAAATCCAAAATCCTGACTACGTCAATGGTGCTGTCGAGTATAGCCGAACTGCCGAAAATGCACGAATTCCAATAATATGAAGGAACCTGCAGAGACGATCAACGATCCAGCGTGGCGATCCTGAAGTGAAATGGGTATCTGTCAACTGGTCCCATTTAAATCTATGTGTCTAAGTAGCTTAGTCCTGTCTGTCTAATCAATTCTACTTATGTTAATTTTTGGAGCCCAAGCCCCCATAGTAATTTCGAAATGAGTTTACGTTGTCAGTTGTGCGTCGCGTACTATCCTAACAAACCGTACCTTAACTATCCTTAACAACACTTGATTTTTCTACCATTCCACCACAGTGCCTACATAGGCTGAATTTAGCTACTTAGTATTTGTCTTTTATGTCAATATCAACTTTATTTTTATTCACATTCACCTGTTATCTGATATCACCTACGGTCTGAGTTGACAGTTTTTCATTATTTGCCGTAGTTTTTGTTAATTTTGTTGTTTCACTTTCCGCGTGAAATATATCTCTATTTGGTGTCATGTAAGTTGAACACTCTGAATCGAGATACCACAAATCTACATTCTACAGAAAAAACTGAAAACAAGGTTTCGTTTTGATTTCTCCTATTCTTATTTTGATCACAATTTGATGCAAAATGATCATACTTATAGCAAAAATAACATCTGGGACCTCTAAAACCTCGGTATTTTCAGTCCCTTTAACCACTGAAACATCTTGCAGGAGTTTTGTTTTTATTGAGTCACCTGTTACTGAAGTGCCCGAGCTCTCTAGTTCCATGATCATAGGCTGATAGGACTCCAGCAAATGAAATTGTGCATACCCATTCATCTATCACTGACCTGCATACCAATAGCTGATAATTTATAAGCTATTGTTATGATTGTGTTTTCATATTTCTCAACAGAACTGCAACCTTGTTATTGTTATAAGAATACGCAAAAGTCCTACACAACAAGTTAATCCCTAATTTTCAAAAGCTTTTTTGAGATTGTCCCAAGCTTCTTTTACTGTTTTGGATAGTTGCACATGAACATAGTGCACCAAAAGGATTATTTTCGAACAGGCTCAAGTCACCTTTTTTGTATCAGTCTCTGAACCTTCAACTGCATTCCATAATTCTTTGTGTTTCAAATAAGTCTGTACCGCTTATTTCTACGTATCGTAATTATTACGTCAAGGTTCGATCGGCGGGTGCTGATTCTTGGTTATAAAATTGTCCAAAAACCAAGTTCCAAGGGTTTTGCGAATGATTAACCGATACCTGGGCCCATAACCTAATGTAATTTACCGGAAATAAAGGTTTAGCCTCAACTAATAGGAAATAATAAACTTTACACACGAGTGACACGCCAAAAAATAATATCTTTACAACTTATAATGACAACTGTCTTTGAAAAACTAGTTAAGTACAAACAGGTACAAAACACAAATAGCACTAGTGTCTCACTTCAAATTATTTTCTACAAATTTTGTCTCATTCCAAAGAGAATACAGATTAAGAATACATATAAATATGGTTTACAGCAATGTGTTATAAATTTTACATCTATTTAATATTATGCAATATGGTTAAGTTAAATTTTGCCTCATATTTACATACAATTTTACCCTAACTGTATCATACAGAAATAAAGGCCTAGAACATTTTTCGAAACATCAGCTATATGATTAATTTTATCCATATATAGCATATATAGGGTTTCCACCCTCAGTCAGCAATTTTCCCTGCATTATATTGCAAGAAATAGGGATAAAAAAGGCCAGACAATGATGAGTTGCCAAACAAACAATTTAGATTTTGATGTTTTATTTTTAATATAAATTGGTGATTCACTCTTTTCGAAACTTGTCTTACGTAATTGCCAGCTGGACGAAGATGCTTCGCTTTGATTTGCCAATTTACGATTTCAACTTTACGAGAGTCTATTTTTGAATTAAATTTGCGGAAGTAACTACTGTCTGTCTGTAAGATTTTGGCTACGAGAAGAGATTTTCATTGGATATTATGTACTTAAGTATTAGATAATGTAGAGTTTTCCTTATAAATTTCAATTTTTCAATAGTTTTCTCGATAATTTTATTTGAAAGTAGTAGGTATGTACAAGACTTATTTGGGATTAAATTTGAAACCGACTCAACAAACAGGTCTTTGCCTTTTTTGGTATTATAAAATCACGAATTCAGGTTGTTATAGGTTTGTTCCTATAATAGTCAATATGTTCTGAAAAAAAAAACACATTAATTTCCATCCTAGACTTGTGTAAAGCCAAAGAACAAACAGAAAAGCAGAAAATCTGCAAAGATATGCGATTTTTAAAAAGCTACAGTTTTTAATATTGGTGGTATTTTTAGTTTAGGGGCGAAACTCTATAGGGATTTTATCAGCCTTAATTACATCCATTTTTGGTCAAACCTTGATGCAAACAGGTCTTAACCTGATATTCTTGCTAAGTTGATGAAAAATTACTTTTTATTATAAACCTATTCATTTGTATAATATAATTTGGTGAATATACAAGAATTGATAGCCAATTAATTCCTATGTAAATTAATTAATTGATAAATGTAGTTCTCAGATAGCATCCTATATTTTTCTTTATCAATCTGTAAAAGCAGAACAATTTTTCAAAAACTAATAATAAATGTTTATAAACCACAGGAATTTCTTATTAATTAACTTTTAAAAATGGCATTATCAAAATTGACGAACATCTTGTTAATTAATTGAGTCACTAATTAATTATTATCCACAAAAAGTTATTTTTATAAGTTAAAGAAAGATAGAAACAAGGCCCTTTATTGCAATCACACAAGTAAAAGAGGAAAAGGAATACCCAACAATTGTTTTTGAAAATTAATTGTTAAAAATTAAACATTTGTTTCAATTAAATCCTTGACAATAGAAATAATACAGGCAGGTGTGGTTACTATGGGCATATCAGTGTGAAAATGTTGACCTCTACAATATTGTATAGAAAGGTGCGTTATAAATATTTATAATGCAAAGAGAATAATGATAATTTCATATTAGACTTAATAGATATTGTAAGAAGAATCTACGTGACATATTTTCACATAAATGTATTTCAACTAATTATCATTAGAAACCCATTAATAAATACAAAGCTTAAGATTATGACAATTTGTTATTATTTATATTTATTTTTAATTGCTTTTAATTATTAGTAATTTGCTTTGGAGATTATTCAATGTCTTTGAACCGCAAAGATGCCTTATTTTTAAATGAACTTTATCATTATTTTCATTATTTATTTGCAGAAATTCTCCTTCAAAGCCGACCACTGCCGCACATCCCGAGCCTGCCCGAATCCGACCCACCGTCGAGCGGATCCGGAACAGGCTCCACGCTCTCTTCTAATGCTGCAGGAAGTGGAGCCGGTGCTCCGTCGACTCCACTTTCAGCTCTGGAAACCGCCAACAGGTGGACCTCCAAAGAGAATCTTTTGGCTCAAGAAGAGGACGATCCTCAGCTGTTTGTCGCTCTCTATGATTTCCAAGCAGGTGGAGAAAATCAACTTAGTTTGAAGAAAGGTACAACTTTGGATTTTAACACGTTGAAGGACAGTGAACATTTCTGTGAGATAGCAATTTATGCAAACGTTGGACAACGTTGTGTTTCTATGTGGAGTTGGAGTCTGAGAATGTAAATAAATTTCAAATGTGTGACACTTCGGCCGAGACTACGGCACTAATATTCGAACATATTGTGACAGTGGTGATTGAATTACCGTTAAATCAAGGGGTAAACCAATATCCCTGAATTTGTGAAAACAATTCCTCAAAGGAGAATTTTGTATGCATAATTTCTTGAAATTCCTGCAAATTTCTCACAAATTCCTCCATAGATACCCCATTACAAACTTTTCGACATACCCCACCCTAAATTCCAAATACCCCGCAAATTCCTTGCAAATTTCTCTCGGATTTGGATACAGATAAACTTGTATCAACTTCAAGTAACTTGAAATTCCTTTGCATTCAGGGTCATTTTTAAGGAAATTTTGTAACTCTTCTGAAATCATAACTAATAAATGTTCACTTTTATTAGAAAATAACAACACGAGAAATCTTGATAATCAACCTACATTAACCGAATTAATTGAAAATACAGTCTCACACATTTCAAAGTTTTCCTGGAAAATTAATGAAGGGAAAAATTTGAAACTTTTTGTATATAACGAAGAAACTTAGAGACTCATTTTCCCAAAATTTGAATTTTTTCCAGTGGAAAATAGCAACATGAAGAATCTTGGAAATCAACCTACAAAAACTGAACTAATTGAAAATACAGTTTCACACATTTTAAAGTTTTCCTGGGAAACTAGTGAACGGAGAAATTAGAAACTTTTTACACGTGAAGAGGAAGATTAGAGGCTCATTTTCCCAAAATTTCAAATTTTTCCAGTAGAAAATAACAACATGAGGAATCTTGGAAATCAACCTACAATAACTGAGAAATTGAAAATACAGTTTCACACATTTCAAAGTTTTCCTGGAAAACTAGTGACGGGAACAATTTGAAACTTTTTGTATATAAAGAGGAAAGTTAGAGACTCATTTTCCCAAAATTTAAATTTTTTCCAGTGGAAAATAGCAACATGAAGAATCTTGGAAATCAACCTACAAAAACTGAACTAATTGAAAATACAGTCTCACACATTTCAAAGTTTTCCTGAAATACTACTGAAGGGAAAAATTTGAAACTTTTTGCATATGAAGAAGAAGGTTAGAGAGTCATTTTCCCAAAATTTCACATTTTGCCAATGGAAAATAATAACATGAAGAATCTTAGAAATCAACTTACAAAAATTGAATTAATCGAAAATACAGTTTCACACATTTTAAAGTTTTCCTGGGAAACTAGTGAACGGAGAAATTAGAAACTTTTTACACGTGAAGAGGAAGATTAGAGGCTCATTTTCCCAAAATTTCAAATTTTTCCAGTAGAAAATAACAACATGAGGAATCTTGGAAATCAACCTACAATAACTGAGAAATTGAAAATACAGTTTCACACATTTCAAAGTTTTCCTGGAAAACTAGTGACGGGAAAAATTTGAAACTTTTTGTATATAAAGAAGAAAGTTAGAGACTCATTTTCCCAAAATTTAAATTTTTTCCAGTGGAAAATAGCAACATGAAGAATCTTGGAAATCAACCTACAAAAACTGAACTAATTGAAAATACAGTCTCACACATTTCAAAGTTTTCCTGAAATACTACTGAAGGGAAAAAATTTGAAACTTTTTGCATATGAAGAAGAAGGTTAGAGAGTCATTTTCCCAAAATTTCACATTTTGCCAATGGAAAATAATAACATGAAGAATCTTAGAAATCAACTTACAAAAATTGAATTAATCGAAAATACAGTTTCACACATTTTAAAGTTTTCCTGGGAAACTAGTGAACGGAGAAATTAGAAACTTTTTACACGTGAAGAGGAAGATTAGAGGCTCATTTTCCCAAAATTTCAAATTTTTCCAGTAGAAAATAACAACATGAGGAATCTTGGAAATCAACCTACAAAAACTGAACTAATTGAAAATACAGTTTCACACATTTTAAAGTTTTCCTGGGAAACTAGTGAACGGAGAAATTAGAAACTTTTTACACGTGAAGAGGAAGATTAGAGGCTCATTTTCCCAAAATTTCAAATTTTTCCAGTAGAAAATAACAACATGAGGAATCTTGGAAATCAACCTACAATAACTGAGAAATTGAAAATACAGTTTCACACATTTCAAAGTTTTCCTGGAAAACTAGTGACGGGAACAATTTGAAACTTTTTGTATATAAAGAGGAAAGTTAGAGACTCATTTTCCCAAAATTTAAATTTTTTCCAGTGGAAAATAGCAACATGAAGAATCTTGGAAATCAACCTACAAAAACTGAACTAATTGAAAATACAGTCTCACACATTTCAAAGTTTTCCTGAAATACTACTGAAGGGAAAAATTTGAAACTTTTTGCATATGAAGAAGAAGGTTAGAGAGTCATTTTCCCAAAATTTCACATTTTGCCAATGGAAAATAATAACATGAAGAATCTTAGAAATCAACTTACAAAAATTGAATTAATCGAAAATACAGTTTCACACATTTTAAAGTTTTCCTGGGAAACTAGTGAACGGAGAAATTAGAAACTTTTTACACGTGAAGAGGAAGATTAGAGGCTCATTTTCCCAAAATTTCAAATTTTTCCAGTAGAAAATAACAACATGAGGAATCTTGGAAATCAACCTACAATAACTGAGAAATTGAAAATACAGTTTCACACATTTCAAAGTTTTCCTGGAAAACTAGTGACGGGAAAAATTTGAAACTTTTTGTATATAAAGAAGAAAGTTAGAGACTCATTTTCCCAAAATTTAAATTTTTTCCAGTGGAAAATAGCAACATGAAGAATCTTGGAAATCAACCTACAAAAACTGAACTAATTGAAAATACAGTCTCACACATTTCAAAGTTTTCCTGAAATACTACTGAAGGGAAAAAATTTGAAACTTTTTGCATATGAAGAAGAAGGTTAGAGAGTCATTTTCCCAAAATTTCACATTTTGCCAATGGAAAATAATAACATGAAGAATCTTAGAAATCAACTTACAAAAATTGAATTAATCGAAAATACAGTTTCACACATTTTAAAGTTTTCCTGGGAAACTAGTGAACGGAGAAATTAGAAACTTTTTACACGTGAAGAGGAAGATTAGAGGCTCATTTTCCCAAAATTTCAAATTTTTCCAGTAGAAAATAACAACATGAGGAATCTTGGAAATCAACCTACAAAAACTGAGAAATTGAAAATACAGTTTCACACATTTCAAAGTTTTCCTGGAAAACTAGTGACGGGAAAAATTTGAAACTTTTTGTATATAAAGAGGAAAGTTAGAGACTCATTTTCCCAAAATTTAAATTTTTTCCAGTGGAAAATAGCAACATGAAGAATCTTGGAAATCAACCTACAAAAACTGAACTAATTGAAAATACAGTCTCACACATTTCAAAGTTTTCCTGGAAAATTAATGAAGGGAAAAATTTGAAACTTTTAGCATATGAAGAAGAAGGTTAGAGACTCATTTTCCCAAAATTTCACATTTTGCCAGTGGAAAATAATAACATGAAGAATCTTAGAAATCAACTTACAAAAATTGAATTAATCGAAAATACAGTTTCACACATTTTAAAGTTTTCCTGGGAAACTAGTGAACGGAGAAATTAGAAACTTTTTACACGTGAAGAGGAAGATTAGAGGCTCATTTTCCCAAAATTTCAAATTTTTCCAGTAGAAAATAACAACATGAGGAATCTTGGAAATCAACCTACAATAACTGAGAAATTGAAAATACAGTTTCACACATTTCAAAGTTTTCCTGGAAAACTAGTGACGGGAAAAATTTGAAACTTTTTGTATATAAAGAGGAAAGTTAGAGACTCATTTTCCCAAAATTTAAATTTTTTCCAGTGGAAAATAACAACATGAAGAATCTTGGAAATCAACCTACAAAAACTGAACTAATTGAAAATACAGTCTCACACATTTCAAAGTTTTCCTGAAATACTACTGAAGGGAAAAATTTGAAACTTTTTGCATATGAAGAAGAAGGTTAGAGACTCATTTTCCCAAAATTTCACATTTTGCCAGTGGAAAATAATAACATGAAGAATCTTAGAAATCAACTTACAAAAATTGAATTAATCGAAAATACAGTTTCACACATTTTAAAGTTTTCCTGGGAAACTAGTGAACGGAGAAATTAGAAACTTTTTACACGTGAAGAGGAAGATTAGAGGCTCATTTTCCCAAAATTTCAAATTTTTCCAGTAGAAAATAACAACATGAGGAATCTTGGAAATCAACCTACAATAACTGAGAAATTGAAAATACAGTTTCACACATTTCAAAGTTTTCCTGGAAAACTAGTGACGGGAAAAATTTGAAACTTTTTGTATATAAAGAGGAAAGTTAGAGACTCATTTTCCCAAAATTTAAATTTTTTCCAGTGGAAAATAACAACATGAAGAATCTTGGAAATCAACCTACAAAAACTGAACTAATTGAAAATACAGTCTCACACATTTCAAAGTTTTCCTGAAATACTACTGAAGGGAAAAATTTGAAACTTTTTGCATATGAAGAAGAAGGTTAGAGACTCATTTTCCCAAAATTTCACATTTTGCCAGTGGAAAATAATAACATGAAGAATCTTAGAAATCAACTTACAAAAATTGAATTAATCGAAAATACAGTTTCACACATTTTAAAGTTTTCCTGGGAAACTAGTGAACGGAGAAATTAGAAACTTTTTACACGTGAAGAGGAAGATTAGAGGCTCATTTTCCCAAAATTTCAAATTTTTCCAGTAGAAAATAACAACATGAGGAATCTTGGAAATCAACCTACAATAACTGAGAAATTGAAAATACAGTTTCACACATTTCAAAGTTTTCCTGGAAAACTAGTGACGGGAAAAATTTGAAACTTTTTGTATATAAAGAGGAAAGTTAGAGACTCATTTTCCCAAAATTTAAATTTCTTCCAGTGGAAAATAGCAACATGAAGAATCTTGGAAATCAACCTACAAAAACTGAACTAATTGAAAATACAGTCTCACACATTTCAAAGTTTTCCTGAAATACTACTGAAGGGAAAAATTTGAAACTTTTTGCATATGAAGAAGAAGGTTAGAGACTCATTTTCCCAAAATTTCACATTTTGCCAGTGGAAAATAATAACATGAAGAATCTTAGAAATCAACTTACAAAAATTGAATTAATCGAAAATACAGTTTCACACATTTTAAAGTTTTCCTGGGAAACTAGTGAACGGAGAAATTAGAAACTTTTTACACGTGAAGAGGAAGATTAGAGGCTCATTTTCCCAAAATTTCAAATTTTTCCAGTAGAAAATAACAACATGAGGAATCTTGGAAATCAACCTACAAAAACTGAGAAATTGAAAATACAGTTTCACACATTTCAAAGTTTTCCTGGAAAACTAGTGACGGGAAAAATTTGAAACTTTTTGTATATAAAGAGGAAAGTTAGAGACTCATTTTCCCAAAATTTAAATTTTTTCCAGTGGAAAATAGCAACATGAAGAATCTTGGAAATCAACCTACAAAAACTGAACTAATTGAAAATACAGTCTCACACATTTCAAAGTTTTCCTGAAATACTACTGAAGGGAAAAATTTGAAACTTTTTGCATATGAAGAAGAAGGTTAGAGACTCATTTTCCCAAAATTTCACATTTTGCCAGTGGAAAATAATAACATGAAGAATCTTAGAAATCAACTTACAAAAATTGAATTAATCGAAAATACAGTTTCACACATTTTAAAGTTTTCCTGGGAAACTAGTGAACGGAGAAATTAGAAACTTTTTACACGTGAAGAGGAAGATTAGAGGCTCATTTTCCCAAAATTTCAAATTTTTCCAGTAGAAAATAACAACATGAGGAATCTTGGAAATCAACCTACAAAAACTGAGAAATTGAAAATACAGTTTCACACATTTCAAAGTTTTCCTGGAAAACTAGTGACGGGAAAAATTTGAAACTTTTTGTATATAAAGAGGAAAGTTAGAGACTCATTTTCCCAAAATTTAAATTTTTTCCAGTGGAAAATAGCAACATGAAGAATCTTGGAAATCAACCTACAAAAACTGAACTAATTGAAAATACAGTCTCACACATTTCAAAGTTTTCCTGGAAAATTAATGAAGGGAAAAATTTGAAACTTTTAGCATATGAAGAAGAAGGTTAGAGACTCATTTTCCCAAAATTTCACATTTTGCCAGTGGAAAATAATAACATGAAGAATCTTAGAAATCAACTTACAAAAATTGAATTAATCGAAAATACAGTTTCACACATTTTAAAGTTTTCCTGGGAAACTAGTGAACGGAGAAATTAGAAACTTTTTACACGTGAAGAGGAAGATTAGAGGCTCATTTTCCCAAAATTTCAAATTTTTCCAGTAGAAAATAACAACATGAGGAATCTTGGAAATCAACCTACAATAACTGAGAAATTGAAAATACAGTTTCACACATTTCAAAGTTTTCCTGGAAAACTAGTGACGGGAAAAATTTGAAACTTTTTGTATATAAAGAGGAAAGTTAGAGACTCATTTTCCCAAAATTTAAATTTTTTCCAGTGGAAAATAACAACATGAAGAATCTTGGAAATCAACCTACAAAAACTGAACTAATTGAAAATACAGTCTCACACATTTCAAAGTTTTCCTGAAATACTACTGAAGGGAAAAATTTGAAACTTTTTGCATATGAAGAAGAAGGTTAGAGACTCATTTTCCCAAAATTTCACATTTTGCCAGTGGAAAATAATAACATGAAGAATCTTAGAAATCAACTTACAAAAATTGAATTAATCGAAAATACAGTTTCACACATTTTAAAGTTTTCCTGGGAAACTAGTGAACGGAGAAATTAGAAACTTTTTACACGTGAAGAGGAAGATTAGAGGCTCATTTTCCCAAAATTTCAAATTTTTCCAGTAGAAAATAACAACATGAGGAATCTTGGAAATCAACCTACAAAAACTGAGAAATTGAAAATACAGTTTCACACATTTCAAAGTTTTCCTGGAAAACTAGTGACGGGAAAAATTTGAAACTTTTTGTATATAAAGAGGAAAGTTAGAGACTCATTTTCCCAAAATTTAAATTTCTTCCAGTGGAAAATAGCAACATGAAGAATCTTGGAAATCAACCTACAAAAACTGAACTAATTGAAAATACAGTCTCACACATTTCAAAGTTTTCCTGAAATACTACTGAAGGGAAAAATTTGAAACTTTTTGCATATGAAGAAGAAGGTTAGAGACTCATTTTCCCAAAATTTCACATTTTGCCAGTGGAAAATAATAACATGAAGAATCTTAGAAATCAACTTACAAAAATTGAATTAATCGAAAATACAGTTTCACACATTTTAAAGTTTTCCTGGGAAACTAGTGAACGGAGAAATTAGAAACTTTTTACACGTGAAGAGGAAGATTAGAGGCTCATTTTCCCAAAATTTCAAATTTTTCCAGTAGAAAATAACAACATGAGGAATCTTGGAAATCAACCTACAAAAACTGAGAAATTGAAAATACAGTTTCACACATTTCAAAGTTTTCCTGGAAAACTAGTGACGGGAAAAATTTGAAACTTTTTGTATATAAAGAGGAAAGTTAGAGACTCATTTTCCCAAAATTTAAATTTTTTCCAGTGGAAAATAGCAACATGAAGAATCTTGGAAATCAACCTACAAAAACTGAACTAATTGAAAATACAGTCTCACACATTTCAAAGTTTTCCTGGAAAATTAATGAAGGGAAAAATTTGAAACTTTTAGCATATGAAGAAGAAGGTTAGAGACTCATTTTCCCAAAATTTCACATTTTGCCAGTGGAAAATAATAACATGAAGAATCTTAGAAATCAACTTACAAAAATTGAATTAATCGAAAATACAGTTTCACACATTTTAAAGTTTTCCTGGGAAACTAGTGAACGGAGAAATTAGAAACTTTTTACACGTGAAGAGGAAGATTAGAGGCTCATTTTCCCAAAATTTCAAATTTTTCCAGTAGAAAATAACAACATGAGGAATCTTGGAAATCAACCTACAATAACTGAGAAATTGAAAATACAGTTTCACACATTTCAAAGTTTTCCTGGAAAACTAGTGAAGGGAAAAATTTGAAACTTTTTGCATATGAAGAAGAAGGTTAGAGACTTATTTTTCCATAATTTCAAAATTTTCCATTGAAAAATAACAACATGAAAAATCATGGAAATCAACTTACAAAAACTGAAATAATTGTAAATACAGTCTCACACAATTCAAAGTTTTTCTGGAAAACTAATTAAGGGGAAATTTTGAAACTTTTTGCAAGAGGAAGATGAGAAGCTCATTTTCTCAAAATTTCAAATTTTTCCAGTGAAAAATAACAACATAAAGAATCTTGGAAATCAGCCTACAAAAACTGTACTCCTTATTCTTTTGAATTTTTTAAAAATTTGGACCTGTAAATCATGAAGTGAAATTTTTGGAGAATTTCTTCAATAAAAATGAATGTCTAACGTCCAACACAAAATTAGATGTTTTTATAATTTCCGTTAAGAAGTGTGAACCTCAATGACGTCATGACCCTACAATTTCCTTTAAATTCCTCATGAATTTTTCACAAATTCTTCCAAATTCCTCATAAATTTGTCAAATTCCCTATAAATATCCCAAATTCTCATAAATTTCAATGAATTCCTTCAAATTCCCCACAAATTCCTCACATTTTTGGCAAAGAATTTCTAGGTGATTTGCCCCTTGCGTTAAATTGTATGGTAGATGCAAACCCTGACCAGCGTCGTGTTATTTTAAACTATCAATCTGAAGACGCATATCAGCGCTGTGTCACATCGCAACTTCAGGAAATGACGTTAATCTGCGTCTCTGTCCTTCAGCGTGTTAAAATAATCCTGGATTATTTTCAAACTTATGGAATGCATTTCCTCATTGCAAAATTCTCTTTTTTTCTAGGAGAACAAGTCAGAATACTCAGCTACAATAAAAGTGGCGAATGGTGCGAAGCACATTCCTCTTCGAATTTAGTCGGTTGGGTACCATCCAATTACGTCACGCCTGTCAACAGTTTGGAAAAGCATTCATGGTACCATGGGCCAATATCCAGAAACGCTGCAGAGTATTTGTTGAGTTCAGGTATCAATGGGAGCTTTTTAGTAAGGGAATCTGAAAGTAGTCCCGGACAAAGGAGTATTTCGTTGAGATACGAGGGAAGAGTTTATCATTATAGGTGAGAGAGTTTTACTCTATTTGTTACTTGACCCATAGTTTTCTGTCACTTGACCTGAAATCCAACCTTATATAACGAGAAAATTGAAACTTTCCAGTTCAAGAAAGTTGTGAAATAATCGCTTTAGTGTATAGTTAAATGGTATATTTTTTTTCCAGAATAAATGAAGATCCAGAAGGTAAAGTTTACGTCACAGCAGAAAGCAAATTCAACACCCTAGCAGAACTAGTGCACCACCACTCAATGCTGTCAGATGGTCTAATCACCCAACTCCTCTATCCCGCTCCCAAGCACAACAAACCAACTGTATTCCCTCTCAGTCCGGAACCGGACGAATGGGAAATCAACAGAACGGATATCGTAATGAAACATAAATTAGGTGGAGGTCAGTATGGGGACGTTTACGAAGCAGTATGGAAAAGATACAACATGACTGTGGCAGTTAAAACCCTAAAAGAAGACACAATGGCCTTAAAAGACTTTCTAGAAGAAGCTGCCATAATGAAGGAAATGAAACATCCAAATTTAGTACAACTAATGGGAGTTTGCACCAGAGAACCACCATTTTATATAATAACAGAGTTTATGAGCAAAGGAAATCTTCTGGATTATTTGCGCAATGGCAACAAAGACCAAATCGACGCAGTAGTACTGATGTACATAGCAACCCAAATCGCCAGTGGTATGAGTTACTTGGAAAGCAGAAACTTTATACATCGCGATTTGGCTGCCAGGAATTGTCTCGTTGGCGAAAATCATTTAGTCAAAGTGGCCGATTTCGGATTGGCCAGGCTGATGAGGGACGATACTTATACTGCACATGCAGGTAACTTCACACGCTTAATAATTGAATTGCAATAATGTTTCATAGTCATTTCACTTAAGCCTTGTCTTTTCCCAATGCATAATTTATGGGTAGAAGTATCTACAGTTTTAAATAGTAATTTTAACAATTCATTATCCATTCTAGGTGCAAAATTCCCAATAAAATGGACAGCACCCGAAGGCCTGGCCTACAACAAGTTCAGCACAAAAAGTGACGTTTGGGCTTTCGGCATACTGCTGTGGGAAATTGCCACCTATGGCATGTCACCCTATCCGGGAGTTGATTTAACTGACGTCTATCACATGCTGGAAAAAGGCTACCGCATGGAAATTCCGCCGGGTTGTCCGCCGAAAATCTACGAATTGATGCGCCAGTGCTGGCAGTGGCACGCCAACGACCGGCCCACCTTCAAAGAGTGCCATCACGCTTTGGAAAATATGTTTCAGGAATCCAGCATTATTGAAGAAGTGGAGAAGCAGTTGCAAGGCAACATGTTGCCGCCCCCAGTAGGACTAGGTACGCCACATTTCAACAAAAAATCTGGTCAGCATTCAGGCAGTACTGGCAACTTACATGGACTTGTGGATACAGATAATTTGCTTAGTAGTATGGCTACTAAACTGACCACTTTTACTGGAGGCAGTTCCAAAAGTAGCTTGGTGCAAATGCGCAGGACTACGAACAAAAAGGGCAAAACTGCTCCTGCCCCACCGAAAAGGACCAGGTAAAAAACGCATGGATTTTCATTATTTCATTTGCACTTCATTTTAACTAATATAAATCGTTTTTGATTGCAAACCGACTAACACCGCATCACCCCCCACCAAAAACATTACTCTTACCTTTGCAGCCTCCTGTCTTCTTGCAGTTCGTTTCGGGACAGTACTTTTGATGATCCGCACCAAGATCAGCCAGGTCATAACGAAGAGGGAAACGAGTTGAATGGTAAGTATTCTTCTCAATGTACCATTACTTTAAAAGAAGAAAATTTTCAAGAATTATGTTAGAGTTTTTTTTTATCAAATCTAAGTGTTACACCTGCGTCTTGCATCAATTTCAGAACGTTTTCTAAATTTGTAACAATCCTAAGATTTAATAAATTGCTCGTTGAAACACACTAGGAGCATTAACAAGTCCAAACGGCATCATTAAATGCTCGTAATGTCCTTCTGGTGTTATCTAATCGTCGGCCGTAGGTATTTGGTGATAACCTAATGCTAAATCTAGAAATATTTACACCCCTTTAAACTTTCTAACAATATATATATAAATTTTTCCAATTTTAAAGGCCATTAGGATTTAAATATCCATAAGGTTTATATAAGTTTGCAGATGGTTCTAAATAGGGCAATTTCTGAATTTAATAATCTTGTTTTGCATAATTTGTAATGATTTCAAATGCGAGAAAGAATGGGAAATTTACGAAATTAAATGATTTGACAAATATAGTACAACAAAATCTTCTTCACAAAAAGGTCTGACTAGAGAATTGCAAAATTTGACTGCCAGTACCCGTGGGGCAGATAGCGAAAATGAATTCCAGGACCAAACTCCAGACACAGATGACTCAGGAGCTCATTCCTATCCAGAAGTGTCTGCGGCTGGAAACAGCTTGGGAGGAGGAGGATTGGGTTCATTCAAGCGAGTACCCATTATGGGTAATAGAGGTTTGGAACAAAGAGGCAAGAAAACTGCTAAAAGCAAAGAATTGCCCGCGGTAAGAAAACAATTATGATTTTCTAAAAAATTATAATTGAAACTTGTAGGTGCAAGTTGCCGCATTAGAAGTCCAAAATGTACGAAAAGCAATCAGCAGATATGGGACTTTGCCTAAGGGAGCGCGAATAGGGGCCTATTTGGAATCGCTAAGGCAAAGCAACATGTCTACCAATGAGGAAAACGCTAGTCAAAGTATTACAACCGGGGAGTCTTCTGAAACAACTCCTAGGTAAGAAGAAGACAGATTTTTTTATCAACAACCCTATTTTGTTTCAAATTCAGGTCGTTGTCACCTAGAACCAACATCCGAGCGCAACCCCAAATGATTAGGAGCAACTCTTCAAGTGGGGTGACTGCGTTCCATGCCACTCACCCTCCTAGTTCGCCCACTTCATCGAAATTATCTAGAAATAGGAATTTAACAAGGTAATTTTCATTTTTACACAGTATGTATTTTTACTTGTATGTCTCAGACATCTGTAAGACACCTCAAAGCATTGTTTGAAAAAATAAGGTTGCCTGATAACTTTTATGCGAATCTCCATAAGATTGTCCTGATGAGGTCATCTGTTTAACATTACCAGACCTTGACCTCAGGGAGTCAGTTTTGCATAATTTACCCAAGCTGCGTTTACACCTTATGCTAGATATCTTTGTCTTTATTCACTGTCTATGATTTGACAAGGATAAAATACGTTACACCCCAATAACATCTGTGAGATATTTCAAAGACTGTTACATTATGACAAATTGAATAAAGTAAAAAGTGACACATTATTGTGTTGTCAATATAATTTAATACTCCTCGATTTTTACTGTGTTCTTATACTTATCCAATCTTTTGATGATCTGGGCCTATAACCTTTTACAGTTATACATTATACATTCACTATGACAAGTTGACAAAAGTAAAAAGTGGCATATTACTGGTTATTTAATATAACTCAACAAAAACACCCTAGGTGCATTGGTTAACTGATATTAGTGTCAGTTTTGCATAACTCACTTAAGCTGCGTTCACACCTCATGTTAGGTATTTCTTTGTCCTTATTCATTGATCGTGGTTTGACAAGGAAAAAGTACCTTCGATATTCAACTTGTTGAGCTTAACAGGTGATCGATTTTCAAGACCGCATAAAATAAACATTCCTTAAGGTGTCCCTAAGGGTAGTTGATTTAGAATGAACACTAGTTACTATTCGACAAGTCTTATTAAGTCAATTCTAAACGTTCAAGGTTTTCTTATAAATATGATACTCATTTCATTTGAGTTTTGGAGCCGGTATTTCAATGTTAACTCAAAATCAAGACTTACCTAAGATACCCTTAACATTAAGGTGAACCTAATATCACTTTATTCAGGTGACTTAAGATCCATCTTGAATCAAAGGACCCTTGATATACAATGAAATTTGTATTAAAGATGACATGTTATTCTGTACTTTAAGGTGTCATTGAAATACCGACCCTTATATTGACAAATTGTGAGAAATTTAAGTTAATTATTCTAGAAATAACACGGACAACCTCCGCTCGAGCCTGCGCACATTCAAAGCACCACCCACTTCCTCTTTCCGTACGCCTAGCGGCGGTAGCCCTTCTCGCTCAGTGCCGCCCCCTACTCTTGCCGATCTCGAATTTCCGCCGCCTCCTACAGACCTACCGCCACCCCCAGAAGAATTTGACGGCTGTGACGTTGACTGTCACATGACCGTGATGACGTCATCGGGCGGCGATTTGAGGCAGAAGAAGATCGTCCCTATGTCACCAATGTTGCCCAGCAAGAAGTTGAACAGGGAAACGTTGGAGTGTTGCGGGGAGGCAGATGTGATGACGTTGCAGCCCTCAGTCGAGGAGGCTAGTAGCAGGTGAGTGAATAATTTGCACGAAACATCACATGTTTGATCAATTATAACTTTCAAGAGCCTGGAATATTCAAAATTTTAAGAATTTCTGGTTAGTTTTATATCCTAGGGACTGGAAAAGGGCAATTTTATTTAAAACACATTTTTACTGTTAAAGTTTCAGTTTATTAATTGTTAATTATGCCACATTGTTTGGGGTCAACCTACCAAACCAAGAAAAATGAAATGCCAATAATATTTGAACGAAGAATATCAATATTTACATTTATAGGTTTGGTGTGAGCTTAAAACGTCGCGAACTGTCTTCAGACAGTTGCAGCAGTCTTAAAGAACCTCAGAAAAGTCCGGACGAGGTGGACTCGGCTGTTGGTTCGCCTTTGGAACCTATGCCACCACCGCCACCACCTCCTTTACTATGCCCTGACGAAGAAGATAATAACCGGATGTTTAGGAACAAAATGGTTAAGAAAGAGATGGAATTGAAACTGGTGGCTGAAATAAAAGAGAGGGCCGATCAAAAGTTGGGTGGCGGTAGGAAGGATTTTGTTGTGGGCGATCCTTTTTTGGCTGTGAGTGGTGTTAGCCACGACGATCCTGTTTCTCAATTAGGTAACAATAAATACCCATTTATATTTACACGTGTTCGTTCTCTATTCAGCCTTAGAGTTTTACTAGACATTTCATAATAAAATTGGCCTGTAAAATGTTGACTTGCCAAACGTATATGTAAAAAATAGAGAAAGTTAGTTTTGGAACGGTTCCTATGTCCATTGGACCACAACTAATGAATGGACCTGAAATCGAATAAGTTGGTAGACATACAGTTATTTTACAAGTAGTACAAGTACAAGAGGTCTTCCAAAAATTATTGCCTGAACGCGCCATTTTGTTTATTCGCCAGAAATGTTATTTGATGTTGTTTATTGAAAAATTTGCCTTCGGCGCCATTACCCCCATTCTGTTTACCTATAAAAAATTTAAGGGGCGGAGGGAAGTAGTGCATGCCCTATGTCAAATTTTTCATGCCCTACCACAAATTTAACTCTAGCTACGGCCCTGCCTACAACATTCCTCTCTCCCTCAAAAAAGCGTTTTCTTTGATCTTGAGGCTGGTGGAAGGGGAATTTTCTTTGTTCTTATTCCACTGAAACCTATCAAATTGCCATCTCTTTCTATAACACTCTGGAAATCTTTTGCATGTAAGATGTTGCCTTACCAACCATGTATATGAAAAAATATTCTTTTCAGTGACTGAATTATCTCAATCATTGAATATGGAAAAGGAATTGATGAGGAAAAATTCGGCAACGAAAGACACCAATGGCGTCAGTTATGTTTCACAATTGAAAAAAGCAGTAATAACTGAATCAAAACCATTGACCAAAGAAAAGAGCGAAGTAGGTGATACTAATCTAATAATCGACTTTAAATCTAGACTGAGAAAAGTTGATAACGAAAAGGGCAATACAAAGAAAGACAGTGGTGACCAAGACAACGACCCATGTACTGACCTATCATCATCGACCAATAACAAGAGAGAAAGTACAGCGAGCAACGACAGCAACACAAATCTAAAAATCCAAGACGACTTAGACGACAATAACAAGAGAAAAAGCACTGGCAGTATAAGTAGTTTGAAAAAATTGTGGGAAGCCAAAGACACTGTAGACTATGGCAGTTGTGTACAATTAAGCCCCAAATTATCAATAAAAAGTAGTAGAAGTGCAGGAGAAGAATCGCCTGTAGAAAACTCAGACGATTCAGTCAAAATGGAAAGAAGTGGAGGATCTGGTAAGAATTTATTAATATATTAATACAGAAAATAATAATTTTTTAATAGAAAAATCATCAAGTAAATCTGATACTGTCAAAAAAACCTGGAGCGAAGAAAAACCTCTCATTCCAACCAAGCCTCCATTAAAACCAATCAAACCAATGGTACCACGAAGCAGTGCTGCCATCTACGCTACCCCAATCGCACCAAAACCTCCCATTTCAACAAAACCAATTAGTACCGATAACAAAAGCCCTAGTGACGAAGAACCTTCAATTGCTACCCCAATCACTGGCAAAGAAAGTATTCTAGAAATATCTCAAGCTTTAGAGGGAACTTTAAACAGTATTAGGTAATAAATATTTTAGAAACAAAATATGTATCAAATTTATTATTACTCTAGAACCACTCCATCTATTTCAACTGCTACTTGGCTACAGCTCTCAGACAAAATAGGCCTTTTGCACGGTTCCTGCATGGATTACGCCGACAACGTTGTACCGGCTCATACCAAGTTCCAGTTCCGCGAGTTGCTCACCCGTTTGGAACTGCAAGGTAGGCAAATGCGCTCTGCCAGTACCAGGAATCAAAGCGAAAATTCTAGATATATTGCTGAAGTGAACAATACTATAAGGGATGTTGTGAATGTGGTGTTTCGATAAGAGAAATTGGAGGCTGAATGATGAATAAATAGTACCTATACAATCCATAATACATTATTTATAATAATTATTCCTTATGTACTGGACTAAAAAACTATTAAGGACCATTTCTTTTGTGCTTTCCAAAAATAACACTAATAGTCGATTGATAATAATTAGTTGTTGGGTGATTTTAAGTCCCTAATGTGTATCCTATTGGGTTTGTTCACGCAACAAACTTGCCTCTTTGTTTTTTTTTTTTTTGTTCAACTGTGATACCTATACCCCTATTATTTTTTTTTTAGTGTAAATTTGTACGCTCAAATGCTTAGTTTAGTTGTAGATCCGCTACAAATCAGTTTAAAAGCTTGTTCGCACAGCGATCACAAACAGTCACAAAATTTGTAATTTCTGTGGGAACAGACCTTGAGTTGGTATAAAAATTATCAAGAAAATGTGTTTAATTATTACTATTTCTCCTACCAAATACTTGTTTTATATCAACGTAAAAAAATCAGTAGTTTAATCAAAACAAATCCTAGTCATTGATTTTTTGACCAATTGAAATTTCGTTTTGGGTAATAATGACTGTGTGTATACTCCCCTCTCTATTTCTATATAGATTTATTTTTAAGTAGGCATTTTGTAGTGTTTTCAATAAGAAAACGCTATCTGATTATCATAGGGTTACTATAATCTTAAGATTTTTGTACAATCCAAAGATTAAAACGTAAAACAAAAAAAAAAAATTTTAGGGATTTTTTTTTAATTTGTACAGTTGGTTATATGTATTATTACTATACTAGTAGTCAGTAATGTATTTATTTATTTTAAATTGTAATTTCCGCTTATATTATGATATTAGGTTTGGGGTTTGTTTTTTTTTGGGGACAAACCTGTTTTTTGTATATTTTTTTTTTCTTAATAGGAATCGTAATTTATATGCTCATTTTGATATTTTGTACTCTATTTACTTGAGAATAATAATATATGTTCGCATTTGACAGTTTTGTGTCTTATTTTGGAGAAATTTTAAATCTATGAGAGAAGACACTCAGAAAAATTGAAAATTGATATATTTACCCTAAATTATATAACACGATTTTATTTCAGTCCAAATGAGATAAAATTTTCAGAGATTGTGGTCCTCTACTGGAATAAGAATCGCTGAAAATTTCAGCTTTCTATCTATAATAGGAAAAAAGTTATGATCTTTCAAAGTTTTCCAAAATCTAAATCATAAGGTAGGTACAGGGTAATCTATTATAAATGTAACCCCCTGCTAACTTTTTCATTTGACGTTTTTGACAGAAGTGTCAAATACAAAAGTTTCAAGAAATTATCAAAAGTTTTTAACTAAGTCAGTTTTAGGCATACAGGGTGCGTCAAAAAAGTGCAGCAGTGTGAAGTTATATTTTTTTTTTAAATGGAATACCCTGTATATTGTGCGCCTATTTGTTAGTCCACTTTAACCTGATTTCAACGATATATCGTTTGATATGTTTATCCCTCGGTTTATCTTTAATAGTGTCACAACTACCCGCTTTACAGGGGTGACATGGGGGGTTTGTAGCTTTGGGGGTAGATGGAGAGAAACTCGCTCGGGTTATATAAAAATATATGCTATATATTTTCCCAAATATAACCTTACATGTATGCTAATCCTATAAGGTACATGACCCTTCGTACACTGGGGTCCTTATAGGGGGCCACACGTCAATTCTGCTTGGGGCACTGTAGATAAGTTTATCGTCACCCTTATGCCTTGTCCAGAGGGGCGTTCCCAACGAGAGGTAATTGCACTGGACAACGATAAGGCTGAAGATACCCAGAGGGGCGTTCCCAACGAGAGGTACTTGCACTGGGGAGACTTAATTCCAGAGGGGCTTTTCCAACGAGAGGTACTTGCACTGGTTTAAGTCTGCCTTTGCTGCGGCTTGCACCGCAATTTATATCAATTTATTGCTGAATTGCAATAAACATCCGACCGAATCGGCAATTAAATTAATAAGGTTGAATACCGGGTCCTCCTTTCCCAAGCAGCTAGTTGACATATGCCCCCCTCCATGAAGCATTGGACCCCAATGCTTGGAAGAGACATTTACAACAAAATATATACAAATACCATAATGATGTCTAAAAAAAATACATCCTAAAAATATCCCTTCTTTACAATAATAGCCTAATTATAAAATATCCCTGATGCTTAACAATTATACAATCCAAATATCGTGTATAGAGAAAAAAAATTAAAAATTCAAATTAACAAAAGTGTTTTATGGTGGGATGGGTGAGGGTGCATTATTATTCAGGTTACTACAAAAAAAATATCTTACAACTAAGAAATTTCATCAACTTCACCGCTTCAGCCATGGGTTTTTTCTTTTGGTCTGGTCCTGTTTTCTGTATTGGGTCTGTTCTGGTTCCAAATACTTCTTGGTAGGTCAGCTAGATCGTGGGGTGATATCGATCCCACGGTCTAAGTGTCGTTTCCTGGTTTGTTATGCTTCTTTCTTGTTCGTTGTGTGTCTTTCAAGTGGATTGGTTCTGGCTCCAAGTACTTCCTGGCGATTTGGTCAGCTAGATCGTGGGGTGTACGGTCCCACGGTCTAAGTGTCGTTTCCTGGTTTGTTGTGCTTCATTGGTCCATACCCATTTGTTTCTTCTGGTTTGAAGTTCCTAGCCCCTGCTCAGTCCAGAGCTAGGTCCTTCTATTACAATGCCTTCCCTCGAATTTGTTTTGTAGTCCGTCCCTGGTTGGTGGTTTTGTATATACATGCAAAAAACAAAATATTATTTTTAAAAATGTGCTTATTCTTATAATCACATAGTTTAATTATGACCCACATTTGGGCCACCAAATTTCATAATTTGGTTATTTGTTGATCATGGCTCCAACAGGTAAGTTTAGTCCAACTTATTTTTTGTATACCCATATGCCTTCTTTTTGCAGCTCGTACTTTTCTAAAATCCCTTCGGCGGCTTCTTCCGTCGATAAGAATGTTTCTGATTCTTCTTCTTTCATAGTAATTCATATTCTCTATCTTCCCCTAGAATTATGAGGTCATCCACTAGTTTTCTTCCTTCCTTATATTGAGCTGTCATTCCTCTCCATCCCTCCTTGTCTACTCTATTTAATCTCCTACTCTATTTTTTCATCCTATCTCTACTTCCTATTTCCCTACTTCATAATTTTGCTTATGTTTTATCTGTATAATCAGTCTTCTTCTTCCTCGTTTTCTGCTTCACTGCTTCCAATTTCTTCTTCAATTTTTTCTTCGTCTTCTTCATCCTCATCAACTTCAGATTCTGCGTTTTCAGCTATATCTGTCTCATCTGCCCTTTCTTCAATAGGCGCTGCTTCTGTCCATGGATCGTAGTAGGGTAACATCCTACTCACGTGGACCGTATCCTTTTTTCTGCTTCCAATCTTTTGTACCTCGTAATTCACTTCTCCCATTTTTCTAATTACTTTGTATGGTCCAAACCATCTTAAGAGTAACTTTTCACTTCTTCCAACCTTTCTGATTGGGATAAACACTTTAACTTTGTCTCCAGCTTCAAAGTCCAATTCTCTATGTCTTTCATCAAAACGCCCTTTATCTTTCCCTTGTCTTTTCTGTATATTTTCCACTGCTATGGCTCTTAGGTATTAAGAGTGCCTTTTCTCTAATTTGCAGAGTGTCCGTTTCGTTGTCAGCGTCCAACAATGCAGCTTCTGCTGGTAGTGTGGGTTCCCTTGCATATGTTAACATAAATGGGCTAAATCTCGTTGTGTCCTGTATTGCTGTATTATACGCAAATGTTATAAATGGTAGATAGCTACACCAGTCCGTTTGCTGTGTGTTACAATACATAGATAACATGTCAGCTATTGTCTTATTTAGCCTTTCAGTGAGACCATTACAACAAGGATGGTATGCGGTTGTAAATTGGCTTCTTACTCCCATTAATTTTCCTAATTCCCTTACTAATTCTGATTGAAAGACTTTTTCTCTGTCACTGAGCAGATTTCTTGGCATCCCATGTATTAAGAATACTTTTTCTAGTAAAAAATTTGCAACTGGTCCGACTTTTCCATTCGGTAGGGCGGCTGTGATGGCATATCGTGAGGCGTAATCGGTAACTACAACTATCATTGTTTTCCCTTTACTGCTTCTTCTAAATGGGCCTAAAAGATCAATTCCGATTTTGTCGAAAATTGTTCCCACCGGTATTGGTTGTAACATCCCTGGCGTTTTTCTGTAAGGTTGCCCCTTTCTAGCTTGACAATCTGGGCATCCCTTAACGTACTTTTCGATGTCCTTGAGCATTCCATCCCAAAAAAATCTGTTTTTAATTTTGTCCGTTGTTTTGCTCAGTCCCAAGTGTCCACTTGTCGGTGATGCATGTAGCTCCCACAAAATTTCTTCTCTCATTGATTTTGGTACTACTAATACTTTTTCTAAGCCGTTTTTTGTCTTATTAATTTTATAGAGTAAGTCTTTCTCAATCCTAAAATTTTTTGCTCTTCTTCTGATGCCAATATTAATTTCTGGGTCGTCTGGGTTTCTTATACCTTTGAATATTTGTTTTAGACTTGGGTCTTTCTCCTGTAATGTAGCCGTTTGCATTGATTTTAGTGTGAATGTGGGGAGCTCCTCTTGTTCTTCTTTTTCTTCGAATTCTGGTTGAAGCACTGGATTGCGGGACATACAGTCGGCGTCGCTATGTGTTGATCCTTTTTTATATACAACCGTGTAATCAAATTCTGCCAGTTTTAGTGCCCACCTGGCCAAGCGTCTGTTACATTCCTTAATGGAGTCCATCCAGCAAAGAGCATGATGGTCAGTAACGATTTTTACTGGTCTCCCGTAGATTAAGTGTCTCAAATAGCTCAATGCCCACACTACGCCTAAGAGTTCTAATTCACTAATTGAATAGTTCTTCTCGCTATTTGAAAGACTCCTGCTTATGTAGGCTATTGGATGTGCTTCTCCCTTGTCGTCTTCTTGTAAAAGTACTGCCCCAATTCCACATGTTGCTGCGTCGGTGTGCAAAATGGTATCTTTATTGGGATTGAAATGCTGTAGTACAGGTGCGGAAACCAGTTTTTCTTTAAGAATGTTGAATGCTTTGTTTTGTTCAGAACCCCATTTGAACCCTATGTTCTTTCTTGTAACTTCATGTAGCGGTCTTGCTATTGATGCAAAGTTATGTATAAATTTTCTATAAAAATTACATAATCCTAGAAAGCTCTGTACATCTTTAATTTTCTTTGGCGTCGGGAACCCTTTTATGCAAATTATTTTTTCTTCATCTGGTAATATGCCTTGCTCCTTTACTTTGAATCCTAGTATTTTGATTTCTTGTTTCAAATATTCGCATTTGCTTGGTTTTAGAGTAAGATTAGCTTGTCGCAATCGCTCAAAAACTTTCTTTAGTTTGCTCAAGTGTTCTTCGAATGTTTGTGAGAATATAATGATGTCGTCTAGGTAGATTAGCACTTCCTTCCATTTCATATCCCAAAAAACTTGGTCTGCTAGTTCTTGGAAAGTGGCTGGAGCGTTGCATAATCCAAAACTTAAAACATTAAATTCGTAAGTCCCATGTCCTTGCGCCACGAAGGCAGTGTATTGCTTGGACTTCTCTTCGACTGGAACTTGCCAATATCCGGAAAACATATCGAGTGTGCTAAACCATTTTGCATTGCCCAAGTATGACAAAATGTCATCGATCTGTGGTAGTGGGTATGTTGATTTTTTTGTTACTGTGTTCACCTTTCTGTAATCTACACAAAATCTTGTTTTTCCATCTTTTTTCTTAACTAGCACTACAGGGCTAGCCCATGGAGAGTGGCAAGGCCGAATTACTTTGCTATCGAGCATTTTCTGGATTTGTTCGTCAATAATCTGTCTTTCTTTTTGTGACACTCTGTATGGGCGGCTCTTTATTGGGCGAGCCTCTCCGACGTCTATTATGTGTTCTGTTAAGTTTGTCTTTCCCATATGTTTTGTGGATTTCGCGAAAACGTCGTTGTATTCCAGAAGGAGTTCTTTGAGTTCATGCCTGTTCTTCTCGTTTGTGATGCTGTCTAACTTATGATCTTCCATTGTTATTTCTTCGCTCTCTTCGTCTTTTTCTGCTTGTAACATGAAATTGTGTGAAAGATTTGTCTCTGATGCAGTTTCTGCCAAAAATGCTATTGTGGTTCCGGCGTAAATAGCTACTGGGTTCCTTGTGTTTGATTGTACTTTTAAAATGAGGCTACCTTCATTGGTGTGAATGTGCGTTTTTAGTTCGAGATGATTTTTTGCTAACCAGTCTAAATTATATTTGCATGTATACGTAGTATTATCTTTAATCTCACTATTTTTGCCCATAATATCTAATTCCAATGTTTTTAACTCATTCTGAGATACCATATAATCTTTCTTTGTACCCAATTTATATGTCTTTTTCTTGGTTTCTGTACCGATTTGCATC